AAAATAAATTACAAACAATTCAAATAACAACAGAAATTCATAGTAAAAAAACAATGAATGTAACATTCTGCAAAATAAAAACGATAAAATGAAATGCACTTGCCATAATACATACGTGAATAAAATTTCACCAGTCACACGTCTGTCAACAAAAGTGCCATGATTTTGCTATATCACATGTCTTTCTGTGATTCAAAATTTCGAAAGTATCGATAAAAACTTCCTCCAAAGTTAACTTACTACACGAAAACCACAATCCAAATCTTAAACTCTGCTGACAGCCACATAATTTACCAGCAAGCATTTGACTGCAAATCCACACTAGAACTATCAGAAACGCCCTTCTTTGTCTGAGTTCTCATAGCAGCTCCGCATTTCGGACTCCATTTTAAAAGTCCCACAGAAATTCCAAAAATACACTTCGATCCTCATAAACACACCCGTGAACAAAAAGACTTGTTAACAACTCCAACATCGTACCTTTTAATACTAAATTTACTTTCCACACAATCTAAAATATGTGACTGAAATCTAAGTTTCAACGTCAAAAGGTTTGCCATACAAACAGCATCGTCCACCAAACCATCCCACATCATGGAATCACACCAAAAATCAGCACAGAACACATATCGCCACATTTGGTATCTTAGGGTGCATATAAGAGTAGAGCCAATTATATAATTAATCCTCTCGTATTTTTATACATGTCTGCCCCGTGAAAAATTTATCATGCTAATAAATTTGTTTCACTCTTTTTAGAATTCATTTGAAAATTATTTGTGAACCAATATTAGATCAATTTGACATTATAAACACAATCATATGACCTGAATTTTCAGGCTCCTGCTTCTACCTCAAAATGATTGCATGCACTGGCGTAGCTAGGATTTCAGCGCCCAGGGACAACTGAAGAATTTGCTCCCCTTTCTGTATGCTAAGAATGGAAAACATTTCATTAAAAAATTTTGTTGCATCAATTGGGCACCGCCTTGATGCTGTGCCCTGGGACAGATGTCCCCCCTTGTCCCAACCTAGCTACGCCACTGATTGCATGTAACTTTCAGGCTGTCCTTTCTGTAACAAGTATATGAGGACTATTGACAGTAGCTTGAAATTGTGTTTATATTGGGTCATATAAAAAGTCTCCATGCTTTTTTGCCACTAGATGGTGTTGATGCCTGTATATTCGGCAACACTCACCCGATTCTCTCAAACGAACATGTGCTTAAAAGGCGATATTCATCTTCCATTGTTGGTCAAGATATTTTTTTCATTCGTTGCTCATGTAAAAAGTTATATGATTTTGAAAATGAGTGAAATATCTGAAGAAATATGGCATGTGATGCTTTTTACTGTAAAAAAGGTAAAAACGCTGCAAATACATGCTGAAATGTTTGTGAAGGGTATGGTGAGAATGCTGTGAGTAAACGAAGGACCCAGGAGTGGTTTGCTCGATTCCGTTCTGGAAATTTCGATGTCAAAGATGCACTTCACTTCTGTTCGGCCAGTCACTGTAAAAGTTGATGAAATTTTGCAACTGGCGGAGCAAGACTGCCAGGAGTTGTTGCACCTAGGAAGTGCAACATAAAAGTACGATAGAGGAAGTACGACTGTTCCCTATGTACATACATCGTTCAGAAGTACGACATATGTACATAGAGGAATTATGACATAAAAATATGCAACAAGTGCATTTGAGTTGTGTTGCAAGTGCAAGTGTTGCAATTTTTTTCAAAGGAGAATAAAATTCAAACAGTTTGTTTTTAGAAATACTTTTCAAAATGGGATAAATCGAGTGCAGAGCGTCACCTAAAACAAATGAATTTGAATAATTTTATCAAATATTCTTGAATGAGGAATTGCAAGAAGATTTTTTTTTTTTTTTTTAAATGTAATGAAATCGGAGAGTTTTGATCACTACTGTGGGAGAGGCTGTCAAATTACCCTGTGTTGAGTGGCGGCAGGTAGCATATCTGACTCCTTTATTATGATTGGGTAAGGTTGCGTGGGTGCGTACTCCTACTTCATTTTAACTGAAAACATATTTATTACAATTACAAGAAGCTCTTTACACACATATATATATAATTTATAGATAGGTATTAAAAATGAATTATAGTCCTTGTAGTGTGAGGAGTCTACTAACGAAAGTTCCCTTTAGTCGAGAGCTCAAGAGCATTGTAGGTGTCTTTAGTCGAGAGTTCAGGAGTGTTCTGCTGATGTTACTCCGATGGCGAAAATCTTCAGACTGAACTAGCCACGCCTCCCTAATTTTACTTTTACATTCTCTGATTTATTATATGTGGAATAGTATCGGTAAAAATCAGATCATTGGTTCATCACCCCTCCTAAAATCGAGTGGCTTTGATGACAGACACGGTGCAGAACGTTAAAAATCTCCTGACACAGTCATGAAGTTATGTTTCTGCGATGTCAAAAACATGTCGTGTGACACATCGTAAAGGCTGGGAGCAGTGAATTGCAGGGACTGCACACATGATTTACTTATCTTTGTGTGGTCTGCCGCAAAGTAAAGAAATTTACGAGCATTTAAATTTTTAATACATTTAGACTAAAACTGAATATAAAATTAACTGTGACTATTCAGTTCTTCGATTATTAAAAATTTTAATGTAATAACATCATAAAATATTTTTTACTGGCTTTCCAGCCTCCCTCTATACAAGGCATAAAACATGCTTTTCTTCTTGATTTAGTGGTTTGATATATTGCAAATTAACTATTGATTTATCTAATCTCTCTCTCTCTCTCTATATATATATGTATTATTATATTAGGCATGTGTCGTGTAACTTAATATTTACCTATAATATTTGTGTTACAGATTGGACATACACACATATTATGTATCTCATCGTTATATTATGCTTTTTGATAAAATCAACATGTTGTCGAGTTACAATGAATTTATTTATATACAATGTGCATTGAGATGTAATAGAAACAAAGAAAAAAAAATCTTAACAAAATTTTTAGCAATATTGTTTCTCCAAAGCATTTATGCAGGTGTGTATTCTTTTCATTAACGATGAAAAATAAACAAACAATTTTTAGAGCAGATGCTTTATTATACATCTTTAAAGTCTAAATAATAGAAATGTAAACTCTTATTTCTAATTAAGTGTTGAAAAAGGTATTTCCTTTTTAAAGAAAGCACCTGATATTTTACCAATGCAGGTTGGCTACAACAGTAGATATGCCTTGAGGGGTTACTGAACTAAAAGCATGGGGGACCATTACCTTTGTGCAAGGACAAAAAAACATTCACCATCTATAACTAATCCTCCACAGTTCTTTCATTTTGTTAATGACGACAAGAATGGAGCTGCATTAAATTCTAAATTTATTGCTTCTTCTAAAGACGCTTATTTATAGCTGTCAATTTGCCCTCTCTTAGTAATTTAAGCTGCCTTTGCTTTAAATTCATAAACATCCTTTCATCAGGAATAATAGTACATATAAACGCAGTATTATTATTTAAATTCAGACCTGCTGTGTTTAAAAAAATCATCTATGTTAAATGGAGTTTTGTTCTTTTCATTTATATTATTACTTAAAGAAGTACAACATCAGTTTTGAATTATTAAGGAATTATTTTAGCAACATACATGTATTAATTTAAGCATTGTGAAAAATTATCTTATTTTTCACAGGAATTGTTAAAAGCAGTTTTGTATCTGTACACGTATTTACATACATACATACGAATATAGATGTACAAACTAAACACTTGTGTGTGTGTGTGCATATATATATAATATATATATATATATATATTTATACATACACACATGCATCATATAATACATATAATAATACAGTACAAAGTCCATAATTCGGGCGTCCATTATCCGGAATGATCTATAATCCGGACCTCAAAGCCACAAACTTACGCAAGCGTTTACACGTTTAATGCATGCATGTGCGTAAAGCCAGTAAAGCATTTACATGTGCGCGCTTCAGATAGTGAAGAAAGTGACGGAGAGGTTATTGAAAATGAAAAAATGTCGATTGACCAGTTAGTCGGTATTCTCGACTCAGCAATTACAGGACTTGAAAAGTGGAACTTTGTAACTGAACAAGAAATTATGTCTGTTTATAGAATTAAAGAGAAAGCATTAGCACAATTTAATGTCAACATCAGTTCCAACCAACCAAGTCGTTTAAGGACCAAAACTAAAAATGAATAATGGAACAAATTTTAAAATAATTTTTAAAGATTGTAAAGGATTTTTTTAGATTGCGTATGAATGACAAGGACGAAGGATGATGTCGGAGCAAATGGGAAGAGAGTGAGGTAAGCTGATTCCCCTTAATGAGTCAGTATTGTTTCGCTTATTAATATTTCTGTAATATGTCTAAAATTTTCATTTCAATTGAATTCCATTTTATTTGCAATTGAATTTGCCTTTCCACAGCTATAAGCTAGTGCTTGATAGACAGTTTTTCTTTTTGCTTCCATTCTTCACATCATATTTCCCTTTACAATCTTTAAAAAATATTTCTATTATTCGTTTTCAGTTCTGGCACTTAGTTGTGACTTAGTTGATTTCAAAACAGTTGCTATTTCAAAACAGTGATGTTTCGAAACAATTGTTGTTAATTAGAAGTTTTCAGAGTTTGTCATTCAGCCTTAATTCTAGAAGACTTATTTCTTGTATTTATAACATTTATATTACATTATCCTACAATATAAAAGATCTGGCATCATATTCTGATGTAAAAGTATATCTAATTGTATTCAGAGGATTTTTTTCGGGAAGGGGGTATTCAGCACTTGATTTAAATGCCTTCTTATGTTAAAGTGGGAATAATGTTCATTATTTCTATTGAGCTATATTTTATTTGCAAATAAATTCACTGACACTCTATTTATTATCTTTAGTGGTTGTCATTTTGTGTATGCATCTCATATATGATAATGTTATTTATACATGTTTCCAGTACTTTTAAAATGTTAATAAATTTTTATTTTTTAGGAACTGATTACAAGAGATGTTACTGAAAGAGAACATTTAAAGTATTTTCTAAACTATTTCAGTAAATGTAAGTGCCTGCATGCATATGAAGGAATATTATTTTTCTTGGTAAGTGAAATTTTAAAAGTAATATTTTCTAGTATTAAGTAGGCGTGTTAAATAGGTTTGTTGAGACTATGTTTTTAAAATTAATCCCTATTGTAACTTATCTTTTTTCTGTTTTTTAAAGAATGCTTGTTCTAATTTTATATTTGTATATAAAGAATAATTCAGTGTGTAATTGGCGTGTCTTTATGAAAACCTGATGTGTGCATCAAGAGTTTTGAATGTGAGAATACAGTCAAAAGTCGTTAATTCGGACACCCATAATCCGGAATGATATATAATCCGGACCTCAAAGCTACAAACTTTTTGCGCATGCGTCGCTTTGACGCATACCTAAACATTCATCACTTATTAGATTTAAATAGTTTATGCATGCAAGGATTTCACATTAGAGGAAAAATAGCATTTTTTTGAAGGAATAAATATTGTAGTTGCAAATACTTAATCTGCTATGGCCAAAGTACTTATGTTATCTGCCCTAGAAGAGATGCCTCAACTATACTTCATCTGGTGGAGTCTTGCTATATTAATGATTAAATTCTGAAATTCTAACCTGCCCATTCCAGAAACTGAAACCCATAAGGATAACCAGTACTTAAAATCTCCTCTATTCTGCTCCTCAAACCTTGGAATTGACGCATGCGCGTAAGACCTTTACGGCTGCGAATATGCTGTGCGCAAAAACTACGTTACGAATGCGCTTTAATGTATAACGGACGGTATAAGCTAAGCTAAAATTCGAATTCATTATGTTGCAGATTGCGTTGTTCCTTAAATCTTCGAATTGGATTCGCTATTTTTTTGCAGACTGTTAGAGCAATTTTAAAAGTAAGCTTGAACTTTCGATTTCAATTAGTCTATTAAACAAAAGTGGAATTGCTGCAAAAATGGATAAAGGCATATCTTTGTTTATCTAAACTTTAACGTTTGTTATTATAAACTTGTTATCTTAAACGCCGCGACAAATGATTGGAAATTGATCTGTCAAGCATACTATCTTAGTTGCAGAGTTGTTTTTATTTATTTGGCTTATAATCCTTACTAAATGTAGTATTTCTCTCGACGTACTCCGTCTGAAGTATGATTTAAATCGATCCATGATTTTAATCGAATTCCTCGTCATTATAATCGCTTAGCGAGAAGAAGAAGTAACAGAGGTTATGAAAACGAAAAAATTTCGATTGACAAATTAGTCGGTCGGAACAGCAATTGATAGGACTTAGAACAGCGGAAACTTAACTGAAAAAGAACTTATCGTAACTGTTTATCGAATTAAAGAGAAAGTATTATCACATAAAAAACGAAGAACTTAAAACATTAAAAAGAAATTAATTAATAAATATAAGTATTTTTTTTTTGTAAATTTTCGTATTTTTTAGATCATAATTGTTCTTTATTTCATAAATTACGGTTTTGTATTTTATTTTATTAATTTCTGCATGCTATCTCACCAGATTTAAACTGATGATCTATAATCCGGAAAAATCGCTAATCCGGAATCGCCGAAGTCCCGACGAGTCCGGATTAACGACTTTTGACTGTAGTTATATATTTAATAATATTTAATTTTTTAAAAAACTTTGTTTCAGTTTTTGGGCTTAAAGTTGATCTTTAAAACAATTTGTTTTGGTATGACAGTTGTAAAAAATAAAATTGAAGTCCTGGTCCACTTAAAATGTCATGCATAATTAGTAATTGAAATAATAGATTGCTGGTATTCTAAAGAATGATCTGTTTAAATTGCTTTATTTGTGTTCATCTTGTTTCTTATTATGTAATGAATTAAACAATTCTTTTTGTAAAGAAATTGTGTTAAGAGTGTAAAATTTTATTTAAGAGTAGTGTATGGGGCTGATTTTTCATGTCCTTAATATGATCGGTTATTAATATTTCCGTGTGATTGCATATGTTATTGTAGCGTAAAAGATGTTCTCTGTTGTACCACTCATGTGTATCTGTTCAGTAATTGCAAGATTCTAAATTTCTTCCTGACATATGCATTACCATGAATTTTTTATTTATTCTTGTGTGTAACTTTTATATTAACTCATTTTTTTAACATGATTTTTCTGTATTGCGTGTTCCCTTAAATTTAAATGTCTTGCATGCACTAAACTAAAGCAGTATTTGTTTTCTTCAGTGACTCAGTTTCATCATGAACATGATCATTTAACTTATTTGTAGTATGCGACTCTTAGGAATGGAATAATTGCTGTATATTGTTCATAGTTTTTCTCGCATCCACTGCATATTAAGCTAGTTTCATAATGTAGTTTTAATATTGTGGAATTTACTTTGCTTTTATCTTTAGCTGATCTGAGTTTTGATTTTGTTTAATTAAATTGAATAAAAAATTTAAATAAATGCAATAAAGATGAAGTAAATGAAAATTTCAGTATATGTGATGATACATTTAATCTATATTAATATATTTTTGACATATGAGAACTAAATGAAATGACATGTGGTTATACAAAACTAAAAAAGTCATCTTCTTCAGAACTTGCAAGACCATTGAATTTTGTGATGAATATTAGATGACAAAGAACTTGCAATTACTGCAAAGTAACAGAGCTCAAGAAACATCTAAAGTGATATCTGAAAACTCAGATGTCAGTTTGAGGCTAGGTGTAATATGAAAATGTGTGTACATTTTCACATTACTTTGTGTAAATATGGCAATATTATGTAACCTTATGCAAGTATGGCAATATGCAAATATGTAACCTGGTGCAAATATGGCCAATTACACTTTTTTAAAAATTTTAATGACAGTGTAACCTGCTGTTGATCGTTAAATAACTTAAACATCTACATCAGTAAGAAAAATACTGACACATTTGAAAAATAAAAAAAAGTTGTCACTCATTTCATTTACAGCACAAAGTTTTAATGACTTTGTGTATATAGCACATAGCACCACTGAGCAGGCTTCCGACCTAAGATTATCTAAAAGATTACCAAGCGGAATAGTGCCTGATCAGTGGAAGTCTACTACAAGCTCCGCCACAGTCTCAGTTGGCCAAGGCAGATCAGACTGGCATTAATTTAACATAATCGAGTTACAGAGTCATAATCCAAAAATAATTACATTGTCATCTTTGCTTGAAGCAACTAAAAAAAAAAAAAAAAAACCATTCAGATATTATAAGGTTAATACAGTAGGAAAATAAACAGTTATGAAGAAGAAACAAAGTAAAAATGATCTTGATCTACTGCAAAATTAAGATACAAAATCTTGTGATTAGAAATTTACTTGTACAAAGGTCAAGCTAAATACGGTTACAACTTCAACCTTCAGCATTATATACATTACAACATTATGAATTCAGTTACAAACCAATGATATACTGTATATTTGATACTTAGATTATAAATTCTCACCATTACATAATTTGTACTGTTACATATAAGAAATGCTGTTATAGAAGTCTTTATACGCTATTAGTATGTTGTGCAGTTGCATGAGTAACCAAAAAAAGGGGGGGAAGGTGATGCACAGTTACATAAGTATTATGAAAAATGTTTAACACTGTCAATCACACAAAAGAACCCTCCTACAATTTAAATACAAGTAATATAATACAGAGTATTTCAGATGTAAATGTGGAAGTATGTAATTATGTAGATAAAATGGTGACGCATATAATTCACAGTTACGTAGGCAGTTGCATAGATAATAAACAGTAATATTTTCAGTGAAGATTTCTACTATTAGTACACCAAGAATGAAAAACAATACTTATCAGCATAATAGCTTGCAACCTTAAGACCTGAATGTTGTTATAATAACATGGATTATATAGTTAACATAGATAAGTTGTGTAAGTAGCACACTGTGACATATGCAGTTCACTATTATATAGATATGTACAAGTTTCTGCAGGAACATGGTTTCGTGCAGTAATTTACGAAGGAACTTTGTATTGTGCTATAAATAATAATGTCATTTTCATCAATGTGTGACAACATCAGAAAGGCATATGTGAAATATAACATAAAACTAACACAATGAAGAATTAAATAAAAGTTGGAGAGGGGGATGTACTTATAGGGGTGACAATTTTGCCAACATTTTTAAATCAACCTTGCGAGGTATAAGGTTTCAAGCCGTATTAGTTCATATGTGATTGTAATGATATTCAAAGGTTTGAAAGTAAATAGGTTCTTGCCTGTAAATAGGTACACTGTGCATATTATTACACTTTGGCATGTCTATCCCCCAGAGTTCAAAGGGTTTCTCAAAGGAAGTACATTCCATGGGATAAGTAGAAGTCAATATGGAAAAGTTGAGTAGATCTGTTCAGTTTAAGATTCTATAAGAAATTGATCCGAGTAAATCTTAATTCTTGAAGTTGTCGAATTCTAAAAAATGAAACATTTTCGGAACACCACTGTACAACTTTTTTAATGCTATTGGTTGTCTTACTAAATTGTTGGTCCATTCCTTCCAGAATGTGTCCGCTGGTCTGTTTAAATGAAAGCTGAAGTCAAGGGACAGTTGAAAACATAATGATCAGGACTTCTTGTCGCTCCACACTTGCATTGCTCATTTTTAGAAAGGCCAAATCTGAAGAGATAAGTTAAAAATGGTCCGTGTCCTGTTAAAATGTTGTGAGTGCCTAGAAGCTGGAAAGGAAGTTGTTTGAGACAAATTTATGCATTCTTCTATCTGTGTTAGCAGTATTCCACCTGAGCTGCCACTGTTGAGAAAGCTGCATACTAGTTAATTTCTTGAGATATGAGCCCGGAAGAGGAAGAGAGAATTCAGGCAGATTCGTGCCCCTTGCTGCCTCCTTACCCGTAGCATCAGCAAGTTCATTTCCAAAAATGCCTACATTTGCTGGCACCCAGCAAAGTATTGGTCGAGTTGTGGAGTCAAGATTAAGTAACATTTTCTGTATGTTATGTACCATTGGGCCTCTGCTTCTAAATCCTGCAATTTCTTTAAGCCAGAGAGAGAATCACTGTGGATAAACACAGGACTCGGAAGTCGATGTGTA